AATTGAACTCAGGGCCTACCACTATTACAGAGTGAAGTTTTGCATTCCTATGTTGAAGCTCTATTTCCCCAAGGAGTCTTTCAGGAAGTAGTTAGGGTTTCATGAGGCAATAACAGCAGGCCTCATTCAAGAGGATTGTTGTCCTTCTAAGAAGAGGAGAAACCTGCACTCTCTTGCTTTCTCTGAATATGCCTGAGAAATATGCAGCAATCTGCAAGCCAGGAAGAGAACTGGCACTAGAAACTGTGTTGGCCAAAACCTTGATCTAGAGCTGTGAGAAAATAAATTTCTGTTGCTGAAGCTACTTTGTCTACTCTGTTTTGTTATGGTAGCTTGAGTAGACTAAAAGAGAACGATTGTAGGATAAGGATGGGTGATGAGGAATATTGGTGTCACTGGTTGGTGGTAGGCACCTAGGAAAAAGGACAAGTATTTGTTTTGGCTAATGAAACACAAATTATTCTATATTTAGAGTTCACCTCATTCAAACAGAAATGTGGAAGTTAACTAGTTAAAAACCACTTACTCAATGAATGTCTACTTTTAATTACATCCCCTAGTCATGGCAGTCCTGGTGCTTATCCTGAGAATACAAAGTAAGTAAGATGAATTGTCTGCCATTAAGGAGCTCAAAATCCAGTGGGAGGAACACTGCTCCCATTTGTGAAGCTAGAATACAAACTGGAAAGCTGGGTTTCCTTTTCCACACTCCTGAAGACTTGTCGTTTATAAGGAATATAGAGATAAATTCCCATGTGGAGCTGGAAAACGAATGGAACTGTAGATCATCATGTTAAGTGAAATATCAGTCCCCTGAAGTCAATATCACATGTTTTCTCTCAGTTGTGGAAGTTGGAGGGAGAAGGGGAGAAAAGTCACAATGTTATGAAAATCCAGGGGGTCTGCTAGGGAGGTAGAAGGGAAATGGAAACATGTAACTGAGGAGTGAATACAATCAAAGTCTGTTATAATGAGACCCCTTACTACATACAATCAACATACATCAATACAAAAATCCCTTGTAGATAAAGAGCTCTGGAGTCCGGTGAACTGGATTTGAACTCAGATCATCTGTGTGAATGATGATCTTCAGCAGGCAAACCACCTTTCTGGGCCTTAAGCTCATCTCCTGTAACTACAAAGTTGTTTTATGGGTCAGGCCAAAAAAAAAGTGATAATGCAAAGTATAATGTTCACATTTGCAATTATTATAGGTATGTTTGTAATCTGCAAAAACTGGAAGTGAGCCATGGGCAGCAAGTTAGAGGTGCAAATCCAGCCTTGACATCTGTAGGTGGCAGGAATTCCAGGTTGGAGGAAACAGGATGAGGTAGCAGGGGTGAGGGTTACAGGGTTTGGGGATTCATTTATATCTGAGTCAGTTATTAGCTGAGGAAAGTTGAGCAGGCTGTGTTATGGGTCTGAGTTTTAGTTTCTTCATCTGTCAAATAGCTAATAATACCTATGCAGGAGGGTGGATCTCAGTATGCAAAGGTTTGGTGTGCTGCCAGCAGGCCTGTCGCTCAATTAATGGTAACTTTTGCTCTTATTAATACAATCATTTGGTTATTTGAGATGTAAGGATGTGAGGATAATGGAAAAGCTATTAAAGACTCACTTCCAAAGTTATCTTAAAAAGATAAAGATTGCTTTATTTTTCAAGAGTTACAGAAACATAATTTGTAGAAACTAACCTCTGTATCATATGGCTTTGGAGTCTGATATAACTTCCTTATTAATTCTTCCTTCTTTTCTTTTTTCTTTTTTTGCCAGTCCTGGGCCTAGGCACTGTCCTTGAGATTCTTTTGCTCAAAGATAGCACTTTACCACTTGAGCCATGGCACCACTTCCAGCTTTTTCTGTGTATGTGGTACTAAGGAATTGAACCCAGGGCTTTATGCATGCTAGGTTAGCACTCTACCACTAAGGCACATTCCCAGGCCTCTTCCTTACTTTCTATCCCAGGTAGATTTCCAAAGTTCTGTTAATAAAGGCTTGCTGAAATGCAAATTTCCATCAGCAAAGTGGTGAGTGACTATGAATCCCACTACCCGAGAGGCTGAGGCAGGAAGATTGAAAGTTCCAGGCCAGCATGGACTACAACATGGGACATAGTCTCAAAAACAAAAAGAGGCAAAATCCCACCAGACAGAAAGGTTTTTGTTCAGTGGATTTAGGGTGGGACAGGAAACTGCAACTGCAGCAAGCTCTCAGGTAAGACTTGTGCTTCTGGTTCATGGAGCACAGTTGGAGGAAGTGGGGTCCATGAGTGGCTGTGGAAATTCCTTCCTTGGCTTGGAGTCCACAGAATGGGCCTACTTCCCTTTAGTGATCTACCTAATGACAGACTATGGAAAGAATTCAAACAAGCTTGTTTCAGACCAGACTTAGAAATTCTACACAGGGACTCACTGCAGATCAACATCACTTTCGTGGAACAACCTATACTCTGTGCAGGGCACTGTACAAGCTGCCCAGCATCAATTCCTGCTTCTAAAGACTACTCTTATATACCTCTATCCTACCTGGAATAGTTAACTTCCTGAGGACGGTCCTGTCTCCATGGTTGCCTAAAACCATAGAGATGCTCATAAATACTAAGTGAGTATGTTCACAGGTGTTTCACTAAAATGTATTCTGACCACATATGACAATGAGATACTTTCTTAACAACTCTCTATGTTAACCATCACAGGTGAGAGATGAATACGTTAAAACTAGGCCTTTAGATTCGTCCCTATTTCAATCTGACTAGTGTCCTAATAAGAAGAGGATGTTTAGACCCCTAAAGACAATAAAGATGCAGTGCACAGGAAAAAACCATGCCAAGCCATGGTAAGAATGTGCCTGTCTACAAGCCAAGCTACATGGATGAACCCCTGAGAGCAATGGGAATTAGTAATGCAAGATTCAGAAGAGGGAAAGGCAGAGCCCCAGATAGGGTTAAAAGAGTTGCCATATTAACATTTCTCTCCCCTTCTCCTAATAGCAACACAATTTCTAAGGCTTTTCTCTCCCCGAATCTGAAACAAGGTAATTTTCAAACTTTTTTCCCTTTCTGAGCTATGCTTTGATAAATAAGAAGTCTTTGAATGCCGGGTGCTGGTGGCTCATGCCTGTAATCCTAGCTACTCAGGAGGCTGAGATCTGAGGATTGAAGTTCAAAGCCAGCCTGGGCAGGAGAGACCGTGAGACTCCTATCTCCAATAAACCACCAGAAAACCGGAAGTGGCACTGTAGCTCAAGTGGTAGAGAGCTAGCCTTGAGCTGAAGAGCTACAGTGCCCAGCCCAAAGTTCAAGCCTCATGACCAACCAAAAAAAAAAAAAAAAAGAAAAGAAGAAGTCTTTGAAATATTGCTTCAAGAGGAAAATCCTGTAATCTTAGCTACTCAAGAGGCTGAGATCTGAGGATCATGGTTCAAAAGCTGCACAAGTTGGTCGGTCTATAACACTCCTATCTCCAATTAACCACCAAAAAAGCCCCTCGTGGTGATGTGGTTCAAGTGGTGGAGTGCTAGTTTTAAGCAAAAATACTCAGGACAGTGCCAAGGCCCTGAGTTCAATCCCCAAAGCCAACACACACACACACACACACACACACACACACACACATATTATATTTCTCCCTGTATTTCATATCCTAAAGAGTATCTATGATGATAATTGAGTTTTTAGCAAACTGTATAAAAGATTCAGTCAACTAATAGTTCCATACCACAGAATCACATTTAAAGCCTGATTCTAAATCCGAGGACTGGATTTTTTTCTCCCCCATAAATATGTCAACTCATATGTATAGAGGGGTGCCTCCTTCAAAATAGCCATTCTGGAAAGTTCTACACTCTAACCACATTTCTGTACTCAAACTATGTCTGGAGTTGCTTTCAGGGACTGTCTTTTGAATGCTCTCAATGGTGGCGCTTAAAAGTAAGTATGATTTTCAAAAACAACCAGCTACTGTTCTGAGCCAGACCTGGTGAATTAAAGGAAGAGTCAAACTTAAGGCCAACAAGAAGGCTGACTCTAAAGTACCCAAGCTGATTTTTCTTGAGTGTGTTTGTACTCAGCCCCAGAAGGCAGTTTCCAAACACAAACCCTAGTCATAAAGTCACCATGTCATATAGCCTGATATGAAATCAAGGTTGAGGTTGGGGGATAGGGCATGGTAACTTCACAGAAGGAAACTCCACTTGTTCTGGATATCCAAGCTTTCAAGAGTCTCTGCTCTGCAGAAATAGTTCTTCAGTTCCACATATACACTAATTCATGGGGCCAAAGTTCCAGGAAGTACAAGAACTCCACTGCCTTCACCCAATTTTTAATCCTTCAACACGGGTATTTTGTTGTTGTTATCTATGAAAGTTAAGCCTAGGGAAGAATGTCTAATAAGTCTGAGGTTTATTCTCCCTGACTCAAGGAGCAGAAATGAGAGCCTCTGAAGCTATCATTCTGTCTGGGTAAGGAAGAGCTTCTCAGCTGTGGGAGCTGTCCAGCAACAGTGTTAGTTCACTCTGGAGATGGTGAGCTTCCAGGACTGGGAGGAGTTTCAAGCAAAAACTGGTTTGTTGTGGGAAGCTGTAGGCAGAAGTGGCCTGTAATCTGTGAAATGCTTGGGAGCTAGAACAGTGACCTTTCAGGGCTAACTCTAGCCCTGTCTACACAATACTTGGTAGGCCCCAGAAAGTTACTGGTAAGAGGGAAATTAAAAGAGAGCATGGTGCATCTTGTTAGTGGAAGAAGCTTAGGGCTCAGCCAGATGTAAGAAGTGAGAGAAACATTGGGAGCCAACAGATAGGACTTTCCTCTAGCTTTTTTAGGCGGGGGTGGGGGGAGAGGGGCAAGCCTAGATCGGAGACATGGCTCGTGCATCTGAAGCCTCATACCACCACCAAGAAAGCGCAACACGTCTGAAGGGGGTAGGAATTGTGAGGCACATGGGGAGAAGCGGGGGGGGGGGAAGGGGGGGAGGAAGAAAGGAAGGCCCAAGACCACTACGCACCCTTTTTAAACTCCTCCAGCACTGTGTCCAGCCGGGTATCATTGAAGACGCAGTGCAAAGGCCGGTTGTAGAAGCGGGTGACGGTGAGAAGCGGAGTGCAGTCATCGGGGTCCACGAAGGCCAAGTCTTTGACAAACAGAATGTCCACGATGTTGTGCCTCTGGTCGCCCTCGTACACGGGGATGCGCGTGTAGCCGCTGCGCAGGATCTCGGAGACGGTGGCGAAGTCCAGCACGGCGTCGGAGCGCAGCATGAAGCAGTCTCCCAGCGGGGTCAGCACCTCCTCCACCACCTTGGTGCGCAGCTCCAGGGCGCCCTGAATGATGTTGAGTTCCTCCTTTACCAGGTCGCTGTAAGGGTCCGCGGCCCGCAGCGTCTCCAGCAGTTTCTCCCGCGTGTAGAAGGTGCTGATCTCCTGGCGCAGCGCCCAGTCCAGCAGGCGGCCCAGCGGGTAGCACACGGGGAAGGCGGCCGCCATCAGCAGCCGGGTCAGGCACACGCTGTGCGAGGCGATGGCCAGCCCGTGGCGGGAACACACCGAGTAAGGACAGATCTCGGCTCCCAGGAACACGGCGCCGGTGCACACGAGCGCGGGCAGCCACGGGAAGTGGACCCCGGCATCGCCGTCGTCTTCCCCGGTGTCCCCAACGCCCGGCGGCAGCGAGGCGTAGAGCCAGCCGGCCAGGACCGCGTTGGCTCCGGCTTGGCCCAGGAGCAGAGTGCAGAGCAGATGGGTCCCCCTGCCGCGCACGGCCTGCACGCGGCGCGCCTGCTCCTGCTCGGCGGCCGAGCCACTGTTCCGCAGCACCCGTAACTCCACCGGGTCCAGCGAGAGCAGGCTCAGGCGCAGGCCGCTGAACAGGGCGGACAGGGCCAGCAGCAGGAGCGCTCCGAGCGCCCGCAGCCACGCGGGCGGCAGCAGGTCCCCACCGGGGCCGGAGAGCCGCG